CATCTCATCCGCTTTGTCCAACGCTCGTCCTGCCACTTGCGGACTCTGGTCTTGATGTCTTGTGACAAAGTTGACGGCCTGACTTCGTTTCTCACAGCCTGCCCGCTGCTCGAGACTCTAGTTCTGGAAAGCTCCGCAGTGCGTAACATTCCTCGTGTATCATCGCTCTTCGATGCGTTGCACGTCGAGTCCGGATCCACCACGTCGGACGGCATTCTCTGCCCCCGCCTCTCCTCCTTCGCATACGGCCTCAGACACGACGTCGTCATTTCCTCATTGAAGGACTCATTCTTTCGAATGATCGGTTCTCGCTATCGTTCGCACCGCCTTCGTACCGTCCGGCTTTTCTCGACCCATTTCTTTTCTGGCATCGAGTGCCCGGAGGAAATCTACGATGAGATCAACCGTTTGGAGGAGGAGGGATTGGATATAAGATATCTTGACGATGAGGATGCTTGGGACTTCGTGGAGAATCTACAGCCGTGAGCTGGATGAGGGTAAGTCGCCTGACGGAGTTGTAAATCCTGGCAGCTCACAGTTTGTACAGGCTCTGCATGATTTACATCCTTGAATTTCATTTCCCCTCCTGCCTCCGAGACTCATGGCACACGACTTCATTTTTTCAAGTAGTATTCAATCATCGTTCGCTAGATAAATATGAACTAGTGTCCTCAATGTCTGGTCTGATGTCCATTCTGAGCCAACAGATAATATCAAGCGGGTATGACCGCCGTTGCCACATCACTTCCTTCACCCGAACTCGGTGCCATCGCTTGGAACGTGGCCGCTTGTGCAGCTGCAGACGGACCAGAAGTGTTGGCCAGCATGCTGAAACGACAATCAGGATCTTCCTACAGTCAACCAGCTTACGATTAATGGTAGCTTACTTGGCAATAGCAGCCTGATCCACAGGCGGGGACGCCCCCGTGCCGACGATAGTCTTATGCCCAAAGCTCGGCGCGCCGCTGTTGGTGACGACGTAGAGATATGCCGGGCCCGGGGGGTAGATTGAGCTGGTGGGCGGCGCGTGGACGGTGAGCGTCTTCTTGTCGGCGGAGAGTGTTGATACGAGTTGAACCAGTCGTTGGTCCATGTGGACGCCGTGCGTTTGGAAGCCGAGGTCCATGAGTGCCACTGGGATTCAATATTCAATGTGAGTTACTATACTACTAACCTGGTTGGTGGCCACAGACGCACCTGTAACATTGGTCGTATTGGCAGGGAGCGTAACAGCGAGGTTGAAGGACACATTGTAGTTGATGGCTGCCGGTAATCCCGTGTATGAAGGCCGAGGGACATTCATGTACGGAGGGGAGAAGAACTCGAGTCTATATTCAGTAGGATACTTGACTGTCGTTACATCATTATTCGGATTTGACCCCGCTGAAAAAAGAGACAGTCACACGCGAGTAAATTGCGAGTGAAATCAAGCCACATACCGAGCATGACAGTGCCATTCGGCGTGAGTGTCGCTGTTGAATGATACAGTCGCGGGATGGTAGACGCCACAAGCCCGGCGGTTGAAAAGCGGCTGCCAGCTGGAGCTGCGGGGTCGTATATCACCGGCAAAAAGGCTAGAAGGATAATTGTTCTCTCAGTGGCAGATAATGAGGGAAAGAAAATCGTACCTGGGTTGTCGGCATTGCTCTGTCCGATTTGGTTACCGACCTAAATAATCAACACATCAGTGGTTGAACAACCGGAATGATGAACACTCACATTTCCATAGCCCGCCACACCCGTCTGGGCACCATTCACAATCATAACCCGCCCATCAGGCAGGAGCACCATATCCAACATGATCCTCCCTTGCGGCATCGTCTCGACCGCCCAGCCCTTGGCAATGCCAGCGGCGTTCAACACCATCCGGATGCACTGCGCCGACGTAGGGGCCTGGGAGGATATTGAAGACGCTGCCTCGGTGTCACTTATAGTGGACCCGCCGCAGATCATGATCTCTGGTGTGTAGTTGTTGGACGGGGAAAGCGGGAGGAGGACGTGACCTGCGGAGAACGGGGAGCTTGTGGCGGGTATCAGATCCTTTTGAACTTGAAGCAGAACTTGAATGTACATACCTGATTCGAACGCCGTTGGGAATCCCTGGAAGGCGCGTCTCAGTGTTGGTTTGCCAGTTGAGGATCATGGCCTGCTGGTTCGCAGATACGAAGAGCGTCCCATCGGGCAGGAGCACGAGGTTGGGGAAGTGGTTCCCGTTGAGAGTATCCTTCAAAAATTGACTCGGGATTTTGAGCCCGTTGAATCCTGTGATACGTCAGCCGCGGGAAAGACGGGATGGATGCCTAATCTGACCGTTGATATTCTGGAATCCATTTCAGGTCAGAAATCTCGGGAAGTTGTCACGTTTTCCTTACCTTGGGAGGGAAGAACTCGTAAGATGGGTTGTTCATTCCTGTACAATGGTTATCATCGGTGCGCAGCAAATCCAAGAATTCTTACCGGCGTTGTTTATGAATCTCGGGACCAATATCAACACATCGAAACCGTGTTTCAATCCAATAAAACTCACCCGCCATTGACGGACCTTGTTGCAATTCAGCCGATAGATGTGGAAACTGCACCATTCAACGTACCCGCCGAATATAATGATTGAGCCATCTTGAATGCGGACCTGATGAGTGCCAATAGGTATGAACGATCAGTCCGGCCAGTTCGAGGAAGGGAGCGCACCGATGAAGGGTACCATCTGGCGGACGTCAACCGAATCCTCGTCGGATTTTCATAGACGTCACAAGTCCCAGTGGAGCACGGCGTGAAAAGACGGAGGCCTTGCAGACCGCTCGCACCGGTGATGACGACTGGATTGCCACCAGAGTTGACGAGAGTACCATTGCCGAGGAAACTTCCTGTCGCACACCACGAGTTACTCAGCGGGTTCAGCGCTCGGACTTGTTGGGTGTTGATATTGAGCTCGACGGCCCATGCGACGTGCCCGTTCACGGTGAGTGGGTTGTGTTCGCTATAGCGAAGCATGGTTCTGAGCTGAAATTCGGAGCGGATTGAAGAAATTGGCGTACACTTTGTCGTAGATGATAGCTGTGGTTTCAGAGGTTATTGCGAGCTGCATGCCGCTGACGCCGGTGGTCCTGAGCGAATGATCAGCGTCGAGGACTTGGAATAATGGATGGAGGGTGACTGTACCCCTGCTGAACGAGGGACCAGGCACCGGGAATCGAGGCGCGGGCATCTAGTTTGCATAGCGCAGTGGAGAAATGGAAAGCAAGTGCGGAGAGCAAGAGTTGAAGACGAGGCATGGTGTGCTTCGACATCATGGTGGGTTGAATATTTGGACTGGGCTCTTTATACCTGACCCGTACCGCCTCGCATTCAATTGACGGTGTTTGCTCGCCCTTCACACCTTCGGCACCGGTTCCTGCATAAGTCGTCAGCGGCTGCATTCACAGATAGACGGAGAAAGCGAGAATGCACCTGTACCTGTACATGACCACATGCCGGCCGCGGTATTCAGTCTAAGACGGGGCAACACATGGTCCCTGACAAGTACAAGAGGCAATAATGCCACCGGGAGGGTATCAGCGCACAGAGAGCGCGCCGAGCGCGGGGTGAAACGTATCATAGACTTGCTAGTGCTGCCAGAGTGGAGCAACGTCCCGCGGTGTCTTTAGTCAAAAGGTACGCGGGAAGTACGCGGGAGGATAGAATGATGTATGAAGGATGTCGGTGGGAGATAGTGCTGCCAAGACGAGGCGGCATTCAACGGTATGGAGTTGGAAGGCGACAGCGGGTGGCAGAATGATATTTGAAACAAGGCTATTTCTTTCCACTTGAAGTAATTTGGATTAGAGAATTGTCTTGGACTCGGAATTGTCAGAGAATGACGATTCTTGACGGAGACATGTTCCAGGTAAGGACGGTTCAGACGCTTCACCGTTCGGGCCTAGGCCATTTACCGACAAAGCAGGAGAAGAAGCGTAGAAACCAGAATGAGCAAGCCAGAGTCGGTCTGTTGATGTTGGTGAGGAGGAAGAAGCCATACCGTGACGTAATCGCGGCCGCCTCGCTTTGCTATCTCTCTGCACCCATTGTCAGCATGTGGCCACCTACGGTTAATGGCAAACCATCACCCCGACGCCGCCTCCTACGCACGCTCCGGGTTCTCCAACAAGATGGGCTGGGGCACCCGGCCCGCCCTCCTTATCGTGGATGCCTGCATCGCCTACTGGACCCCAGACTCCCCACTTGACACCTCTGGCTACCCAGCGAGTGCTGCTTCCCCCGTGGCTATGAAACGATTGCTTGACGCCGCCCGTACAGGGAGCGTGCCCATCATCTGGCCACGCGTCGAGTACGAGCATGAGGATATGCGTGATGCCAGTGTGTTCTGGCTCAAGGCCAAGTCCCTGGCTATCTTCCAGCGCGGCGATAAGCGTGGCCTTGGCGGCTGGGTCGTAGATGCCGGCCTCACTCCCATCGACGGTGAGCATATCGTCACAAAGCAGCAGCCCAACGCGTTCTTTCGCACCGACGTCGATCAGCACCTCCGAGACCTCGGGGTGGATACGCTCGTCATCTGTGGGGCGAGTACGAGCGGGTGCGTGAGGGCCTCAACTTTGGATGCTATGCAGCATGGGTATAGGCCCATGGTACGTTTCCTCATCACTATGTTCTGGCTTATCGCTGAGGACATGTAGCTTGTTGCGGAAGCCTGTGCGGAGCGCTCCCCCGAGATACAGAACGCAAATTTGTTTGATTTGGGTGCGAAATATGCTGATATCGTGGCCACGGATGAAGCAGTCGAGAAGCTGGGCGCTGGCTGGTGAGCCATTGTCCACGAGATTTTTTTTCCAGTGCTTACCGTGATTTCCCAGGGCAAACTAGGGACGCTTTGAATGTTACTCTTGCGAAGTTCGTGAATTGTGAGCGAAGACATTGATTGCTCAAGGCAACTGCGGACTTTCTCCGATAAGACTTAGGTCCACTGACTACATGGCGTGGGACTAGATCATCTAACCGTATCGCGCTCCGGTGTGGTGTATCGGTAACATATCCGCCTCTCATGGGTCTGCGAGCATCAATATGACGCGGTTGCGCGGGGTTCGATTCCCCGCACCGGAATTCATTTTGCTAACTCGCTTTTTTTCGCCTCTTTCAGTGTTCGCTCTCTGGCACCAACGCTAGCCTCGTGTTACAGTTTCAGCTTCATCCTCGTTGCATCTGTCCTCCGTGTTGACTGATGATGACTTCTCCAATCTTAACACCGATGGAATCGCTGGTGGTCTGTGCATCGATGCCGTCTGCTCTCTGCATCTCCCTGTCTCCGTCTCACAGTGGACCTCATTCTTGGCCGTGATAGAAGGTTTCCGTTGCTCACTGTGTCCAGCCACCAGGAAGACATCGAAAAGAGCAACGATCCCCCTCCGAAAGGTCTTTGATCATCGACCTCTGCTCACACAGACTCTGGGTGACTTTAATTGTAGTACCTCCCGACCACGGTAGGCCTTGTTTGGCAAGGAGACCAAACTCCTGCAGCATGACATTCGTAACGTGGATTGTGCCGCGCGTCGGCCTGCGTCGGCGCGCGAACCGCTCGGCCGCACAGATCCGACTTGGTCAGCCGATGAAATCAGCAAGCTGTGGAGTCCCATGCCCTCTTACCTGATGCCGGCTCCAGCTGCCGAAGACACGGACAGCAGATTCAATTCCGTCTCTCCTGTCCAAAACGGGCAGCACTCTTCTTTGATACAGTCTGAGTTTACTCACTGGCATTGCAAAATCGAAAAATCAACCATGGCTTTCCAACAGATTTCCCAAGTAGCGGGCTCTGCCGCCTGTCGGCCCCACCCGCCTTAATGTGGTAAATTGCAAATCTGAAGGGTCGTCGTCGTCTCCGTCTTCCGGGTTGCCGTGCAAGTCATTCTATTCCGGGTTCCCTCCGCTACAGTGACCGCGCTTCCACGAACTTGGAAGACATGACAACATATGAGCCGCATGAACGGAGCGCGTGGTTTGGATCCCGTGGATAAGAAGACCGTCGGGTTTCAACTACGGAAACAATTGCGCACGTTGTTAGGGGCCACGCGCGTGATTATTAAAATAGGGAGACTCTTCATTCTGACGCGAGTCCTTCCCCAGGTCCCCCCCACTCGAGCCTGCACTATGATCGCCCCAGTGCTCCTGCTTGCGCTCTCCAGCGTTGTGTCGGCCATTCCGGTTAAGAGGTGCGTGGCCGTCGCTGACTCCCTCGCTTCCCATGAACCGTTCTCCGCAGGGCGCAGCCGACGGACTGGATGCAAGCCAACATCGGACTTTTGGGTTCTCGGCCGCTCATCCACATTGCCATCCCAGGCAGCCACGACGCCGGGATGTCTGTCATTGGCGCCGGCACCGCCTTCTCCGACGCGGCCAACACGCAGACGCAGACGCTGGGCATCAACCAGCAGCTCGTCGCCGGCTCGCGGTACTTTGACATCCGCCCCGTCATTTCTGGCGGCGCGTACACGACCGGGCACTACTCGGACGTCTCAATCATCGACAGCTGGCAGGGAAGCGATGGGCAGAGCATAGCGGATGTGATCAGCGACATCAACTCGTTCACGGCGACCAACGATGAACTCGTCATTATCAATCTTTCGCACGCGTACGACACGGACGGCGACAACTCGGACTACCCCATCTTCACCCAGGCGCAGTGGGAGGCTCTGTTTACCCAGCTCCTCGGCCTCAACCACCGCTACGTCGATCCCAACCCGACGACCGTCGACCTGACGCGTGTCCCCCTCTCCACCTTCATCGGTTCCTCCGCCGCCGTGCTCATTATAATCCAACCCGACAGCCCGGTCGACCTCGGCTCCTTCGCCTCGCAGGGTTTCTACCAATACTCCCAGTTGAACGCGTACAACGAGTACGCGGACACCAACACCCTGAGCACGATGGAGAGCGACCAGCTCAGCAAGATGGCGTCTCAGCGCGGGAGCCCCGATCAGAGTTACTTCCTCCTCAGCTGGACGCTCACGCAGGACGCGCTCGAGACTATCGGGCTTGGGGATTCGATCCTTACGTTGGCGAATTCCGCCGATGCGGCGCTGTACACTGCGCTGCCGCCCAAGCTTAGCGCCAACACGTACCCCAATGTTCTGTACATCGACAACTTCCAGAATGACGGGAAGATCGTGGATTTGGCCATGACTATTAACACGAATTTCGCAACACAGTAGTTTGTTTTGTATCTATTGAGCAACAATTGGGGTGCGAGGAAAATACAAGAAACAGATGATTCGTTAGTGCTACTACAGGTTGTATATATACCAAGAAAATGTCTAGAAGGTTCTGTCCTATTGTCCATGTAGCTATGGCAATGTCATTGTCTCGAAGGCGATGAGTGCATAGACGCTCGGGCATGCCTCGGGCATACTCCACAGCTCCACAACAGTATCGAATGGTATTTCTGTTGGGATTCGGAACGCAGCATAAGTACTATTGGCATTCAGAACCTAACACCAGCAAGTCAACCAGGCTAATCTGCATCATCTGGCGCCAACGCGACGTAATAATTGCATTCCCCCGTTCCAATGTAGATGGACATCTTTTCGAGTCGCTCCGCAGACTCTTGCACCACCACGACGAGATTATGGATGTCGGAGCTCGGATTGTCGACGACGAGCCGAAAGGATTGGAGGATATCCTGCCGGGCGGTGAGGAAATCCGCAACAAGGTGCAGATTTGTTGTATGAACGGAGTGTTGTCTGATCGAAAGACGTCGAACACCCGGAAGGATATCTTTGGGGGTGCCGGCCATCGCCTCGAAGATGGAGGTGCGTCCGTAAGATAGCCTCAACTGAACATCCGTCAGCCCAGGTGCGAGTGCAAGGCATCTCACGACGTCCTCGCACGAGGATACTGTGTTCAAGTGGAAACAGCGCAGAGGCGGGGACGATCGTTTCAGAAATTGTACGAGATCATCGCTGACGAGATACTCCCATATCGAGAGGGTTTCGAGGAGCGGCATTGTGACATACGCCAGGAAACCCTCCAGCTCTGTCACTAGGATTTCTCTAGGTCTGCCAACACGGAGGTCTCGGATCGCGACATGAGACAAGGGCACTGGTGTCGCTCTGGAGAAAGGGGCTCGGAAATCGAATGTCAAGAGATTTGGGGCTGCTCGCAGCATTTCGAGGCATCGTTTCACTGGAAGAGAGGGGCCATACGCCTAGAATCCTTTTGAGCACTTGATAACCAGAATGCCAAAGTATATGGCGGACGCACCTGACTGTGGCAACGACGACACTTTGGGCTGCTAGGTGTGATTGTCAAGGATGCGAGCGAGCAGAAGAGCCTTGATTTCCTATCCTCGTCCTGGGACCAAAGCAAATCGACAGTATCCAAGCATACGGCCAACGATATAGGGTGCCCCTGGGCCCGACTCCGCCATATCTCCAGGGCAGACAGAAAGTGCGCTGTCGAGATTCCGTCGTCGGTGGGCATAGTCCACAGCTGGGGCATGCTAAGCATGATGCTCTTCCATGTGCGACAGATGTACAGGAGCTTGGACAGCTCCTTCCAACTCGGGGTGGCTGGCACGAAGGATGTCGGAAGAAATCTCGACCGGCAATTTTCCTATGGGGTCGAGGATGGCGTTGAGTTCGCTCTGGGCTACGATTCGTTCCCGCTCGAGGCTATCGAAGGTCGTGCAGATTTTTTCGATTCTCGTTCGGAGCTGGAGCACGCGGTTGGATGTAGACATCTGGTGGAAAAGACGAAGAAATGAGGGGCACGTGCACATCATGATCACCGCGATTCGCGACGGCCGTTGGTCAACACGGCAACGTGATGGTGGTCCGTGCGCGGGGTATGCCTCAGTCGTGTTTCCCACTGGCATTGAGGACTGAGTCTGATGATGTTCTACTGCCACTGTATTTAAAATTGCATAAATGCTCATTAGGGTTTTGTCCAGTGATACCTGTCATACATACCATCCACCGTACCACGAGAAATAAATAAAATGCACGACTGACCTCACAAAAAAATGCTTCCCAACGTCTATTGAATGTCTGTGTACATCTCTTCATCCGCAAATCTGCTTAAAGCCGCCGCGATTTCCCCCAACAAACGTTCCATCATCCCGTTCAACAGCAACCTGAAGAGATTCGAGACAGCCGTGCCTTCGTTCTATAACCTCCGAAACATCCGAATAACCATCCTGGACGCGACCGCATGCCGAATGTTCGTGGAGTGAAAGTCTCCGCAGAGTCGGGAGGAGCGTAGGAGTTTTCGCCAGGAGGTTCAAAAACGCGCCTGAATTTGGGGGTATGATCTCGAGTTGCGTCAAATTGGGCACTAGCTCGAGACACGCGAGCATCGTTGGAGTCAACGATCCCCTGCTCGTTGAGTCCGAATGTCTGCGATCCGGATGCACCTGTAGGCTTCGCAGGGGTGGGGGATCACATCGTTTGAGGAATCCCAACAAGTCCTCCTCGGCGATTCTCCTATCGGCTGCGTTGTATTCGCAGGAAACGCAGATAGTTTCTAGACGAGGCAGGATAAGATCCCGCAGTATCTCGGTACCAGAACAAATTCTGCTTTCCAATTGACCGAGACGCAGGTGTCGCAATGTGGGATGAGTAAGGTATGTTGAACCAAAGCTGGATAACGGGAACCTGACTCCGCGGAGGTTCAAATCCACGAGGTTGGCTGCGCTACGTAGGACCTCGAGGAGTGCGTCCCTGAGAATCCACAATGTCGAAGAACCACGCCCGAGCGTCAAAGTGCGTAACGCGCCAAGCGGGTAGGTGGAGAGGATTTTGAGATCTCCGTCCTCGATGGGCGAGAGCAGCTCCAGATGCTGGATACGATGCATCTGGCGTTGGAGTGGACTTCCAGCGAGGGACGTGTTGTGGATGAAGGCGGAGAGAGGCATGCCTCGCGTATGAGCGACACAGAACTCGAGCATCGCCCCGAATTTCGCTTGCGGGACACCCTCGTCGCTGATGGAAGTCCACAGAGGGGGCATGGCGAGGACGAAATCTCTCCACGTATGACACACGCTCAGGAGATTTGAGAGTGCTCGCCAATTGGCGGGCTTTGGCAGGCTCTGGATGATAATGTCGGACGAAATCTCT